CCGACCCTGGCCTGTACAAGTTTATATAACTTTAACATATTTTATTTATCTTTTTTATTTATCTTTTTATTATAGACTTCCTATAAGATTTGGTCAGAATTCCTATTTAAAACACAGAGATATAATTTACAAACGTATTAGACCAGTCATCGAGCAACGTCTTAAGAGTAAAAAGGAATTAGGTGACGCTTGGGTTGCTCCTGTAAGTTATATTATAAATTGAAAATTTTAATCAAGTATATTATCGTATGAATATTTAAATTATTCTAAAATATATATATTTTTTTAAAAAAAAAAGGTAGATATGCTACAAGCTCTCTTAAACGATCCAGAAATAGCTCCAGATCTCGATCCCAATAGTGTAGATTATAATTATATTCTTGATACTATTGGCGAAACTATTTTTGTTTCTGTGGGAACTACTTCTAAACTCGCAGCCTACGCGTTATATGGTTAGTTATATATTCCCTTTTTTGACATTATGAAGTTATTCATTTTTTTTAAGTAATTTTTATTTAAAATTAGACTTGGCGGGAAGAAAAGAATATTGGCAAGAATTATACCAGGAGGCTCAAGAAATTAATAAACAGTGCAATGGAAAACTTAAATCTGAAGATATTGCTAAAATGGTGAAATTGGATAGTTTTGTTAAAGAATCCTTAAGATTATCCAATTGTATATTGTTTATGCCGCATAAATGTATTTCTAAATCTCATTATACGTTTGAAAATGGTTATCAAATCCCAAATGGTAATTTTTTTTCAAGATTATTAGTATTATTTATTTGTAAATCATAATATCGTGTTTCTTACGCCTCCTAATTTTTGAAATCATAGGTCGCATAGCTATGATTAATTTCATGGACATAACTAATGATGAAAAACTTCAAGGTTGGAATCCCTCAGAGTTCTATGCGTACCGACATCTAGAACGTAATTCTCCAGCGGATAAAGTTGAGCGTTATTTTGTGGTATTTGGAGGTGGAAAACATGCGTGTCCTGGTAGACATGTGGCTGTTAAAGAGATGAAAATGATTTTACACAATATTATGTTAAAATATAATATTAGGACCGAATCTGGAAAAGTGTTTCCTTATACATTTACTGGACCTCTTATTGATGATTCAAGAGGTGATAGGGTTATATTTAAAAAAAGAAAGGATATTAATTAAAAGTTGATATAAGATTATACAATACGTACTTCTCTATAATCATCTCTTTATACATAGATCTCAACCTCTATGATTTCAACTTTTGAAATATAAAATTTCATATATATTATCACTATCACACACATAATTTCTAAATATAAATAATATTTTTACTTTTTAAACTATAATTAAAATTCAAAAAAATTATACTTAATAAATTTTAAGTTTGCTTAAATATTTATTAAAAAGTTTATAACTTTTAACAATACTTGATTAAATTATTTAATCAAATTTGAGTGCTGCCAAAAAAAAACCTGTAAGTACGAATTTAATTTTTCACTATGCAGAAATTAAACTCAGAAAATTCAATAATCAGTGATTCTGAGTTTAAGTTCAGAATAGTTAAAATTTAAATTCGTACATGATAGCACTCATTTAATAAAAAAGTTTTATTTAAACTTACAAATCTATATAATTTTAAATATAAAAAGAAAGAATTTTGATTTTTACAAAAATTCAGTTATAGTATTTACACATATCTCAAAAACTAGCTAATCGATCTGTACAGGGTGTTTTTAAGTAAAAATGTTCTACTCCTCAAAGACCTTTCTAAACATTAATTTTAACTCTAAATGCTAACCCTAGCATGAAAATTTTGTGTTAAAAGTTTATATACAAACTTATAAAAACTTAGAAAAATCTATAAAATATAAGTTACTATTGCAAATTACTAGATAATATCAAAAGTTTTTTTTTTCTATGATTTTGTGGTTATGCTAGGATTATTTATAAACGGGTTTCTTTTTTAAGTAAAATCAAGTATAGTCTAGTTTATTTTCAGTTTAAATAAACAAAATCATGGTTTCCAAGATGAACAATAGATTGCATAAGACAATTGGTAATATTTTTATAATTGTAATTAAAAAGTCCGTCACTACGCTCGTATCCTTAATACAAGTCTAACGCTCCTAGTTTAAGCGCGACTACGTCGTACAACTACTCTAATCATAGATATGGATACTAAGTGTCTGGACTATTAAGAGATTTGACTCGAAAATTATATAAAAATTGACAAATTTAATACTGATATTACTACCTGTGCCCATGCCCGTGCCTGTGCTAAAATTTTATGCTATGCTATGCCCGAGCTTGATTTTATGGCCGTGTCCATTTCTGTCCTGAGCTTTCATGCCCATGCTCATGCCAAGGATTTTTGTTGGGTACAGTTTAACGGTGTAATGTGACCCGACCGTAGTTACTGAAAAGGTGATCCAAGCCATATGAATCGGGACCCGAATGTGCATTTATCGTAAAAGCGAAGGGATTTAATAATGCTAAGTCTGGGCGATGCTTCATTGAAAACAATAGTAAGGTGTCTCTGGTATTCAAATGGTGGGAATTAAGATCATAGCCATGTAAATGTGTATGAAATGCTCATTGTTAATCATAGAATTCTCCGACACTCTAATTAGTCATATTGTTTGTAGGATTATAATCGTAATAGCAAAGCCCCAATGTAATCTGTAATGTATATAAATCCATCGATTTCATGTAACTAAAGGGTAACAAGTGTGTAGTTAAGTAAATAAAAATTATAATGAATAAAGACCATCTTCCTGGTAATTCTAGTGGCAGTAGAATCCTTGGTTCTCAGACCAAATTTTCCACGCCCTCTTTCGAGTAACCTCATTTTTGGATGTTTTTTTTGGCGGTGAAACATATATTTTAGACTTAGTACCATTTTTCACCGTCTAAAGGCACAAGCCCGGTTACAGACCCCAAATTCAATATATAATTTGTTTTTTAACTAGGCTATGAAATTGAGAAATTTAAATTGAGATATTATTTATTGGAAATAAATGAATATATCATTTAATTTCATAAACTTAGATTATAAAAGAGGTACCAGAGATAAATAAGCATATCCATATTATACAAATAGGTGCTAATAATATGATCAAGAACTTGTCGGCTGGTTAAAAAATGCAACTTGAGAATTTAAAAAACCAAAATTTTATTAATATTAAACATAGTTTCCTAGAAACGACAGAAATTTTATAATGTATTCATATCTTTGCTTTGGAATCCAACTTATAGATCTGGTGAGGTTTTAGCATCCTCTAGTCTTTAATTAACTTCAATTAAGGTCGCTCTCAAGCGTCAATCTCAATGTGATTAGCAAGTGATCGTAATAGTGCTCAAGCATAATTATATTTACATAAAATTTTTGCGGAAAATTCGAATATGAAATTTATGACGTAATTG